CTTTTTTGATTGACTTATTTCTCTTAGCATAATATTCTCCAGGTTCATCCACATGGTAACATGTGCCAGAAGTTCCTTCCTTTGTAGACTGAATAGTATTCCATTGTTTGTATACTAATACACCACATTCTGTTTACCCATTTATTCATCAATGGACACTTGGGTTACTTCCATGTTTTAGTGCTTGTGAATAGTACTGCTAGGAACATAGGTACAAATATCTCTTCAAGGCCTGTTTCTATTTCTTTGAGATATACCTAGAAGTGGAATTTCTGGATTATACGGTAATTCTATTGTTAATTTTTGAGGACCTGCCATACTGTTTTCCATAGCAGCTATACCTTTTAATCCCACCCACCGTGCACAAAGGACCCAATTTCTCTACAGCCTCACTTGTTATTTCCTGATTTATTTTATAACTAGAGGTCCATTTCACAACTTTTGTACACTGGGGTCGGGCGTTTCTCAGCCCGGCCTGTGCCCTTTCGCAGTCTGGGACGCCTCAGGGGATGTCCAACTGCAGGCTTAGTGGGCCTGCAGTGGGCCTAAGCCAGCAGTTGGACATCCCCTGAGGGGTCCTTAGCACTGCTGCAAAGGCAGGAGGAGCTCCCGCCACCGCTGCCACTGTGCTCGCCAGCCATGAGCCCAGCTTCTGGCTGAGCAGCGCTCCCCTTGTGGCAGTGCACTGACCACCAGGGGACAGCTCCTGCGTTGAGCGTCTGCCCCCTGGTGCGCAACTGACCAGTGCACAACATAGCAACCGGTTGTTCTGCTGTTCGGTCGATTTGTATATTAGGGTTTTATTATATAGGATAGTAGCTATCCTAGTGAGTGTGAGGTGGTATTTTATTTTAGTTTTGATTTAAATTTCGCTAATGATTGACGATACTGAGCATCTTGTCATGTGCTTTGTATATCTTTAGAGAAATGTCTATTCAAATCATTTCCCCATTTCTGAATCAGCTTGTTTGTTCTTTTGTTGCTAAGTTCTAGGAGATCTCCATATATTCTGGATATAAATTGCTTACCAGATATATGATCTGCAAATATTTTCTCCCATTCCATGGGTTGCCTTTTTTTCTGTTGATAGTGTCTTTGATGAACAATTAAAACATTTTTTTTTTCATAAAGTCCAATTTGTCTATTTTTTGTTGTTGTTGCCTCTGCCTTTGGAGTCATAGCCAAGAAATCATTGCCAAATTCAGTGTCATGAACTCTTTGTGCTATGTTTATTTCTAAGACTTTTATAGTGTTAGTTCTTAAATTTAGGTCTTTGATTCATTTGGAGTTAATTTTTGTATATAGTGTTAGATAAGGGTCCAACTTCATTCTTTTGTATGTGGACATCCAGTTTTCCCATCATCATTTGTTGAAGAGTCCTTTTCCCATTGAAGATTCTTGGCACCCCTGTCAAAAATCATTTGACCATATATGTGAGTGTTTATTTCTGAGCTCTCTATTGTATTTCATTGGCCTTTATATCTGTTTTTGTGCCAGTAACTGTAGCTTTGTAGTAAGTTTTGAAATCAGGAAGTGTAGTTTTCATTTATAAGTATTTCACCTCCTTGGTTAAATTAATTCCTAAGTATTTTCTTAGTGTTGATGCTATTATAAATGAAATTGATTTGTTAATTTCTTTTTCATGTTATTCATTGTTAGTGTATAGAGATGCAACTAATTTTTGTGTGTTGACTTTATATCCTGCTACTTTGCTGAATTTATTGATTAGTTCTAACAAATTTTTGTGTAGAATCCTTAGGGTTTTCTATGTATAAGATCATGCCATCTACAAACAGATTATTTTACTTTTCCCTTTCCAATTTGCATGGCTTTTATTTCTCTTTATTACCCAATTGCTCTGGCTATCGCTTCTAGTACTATTTGAATAGAAGTGGCCAGAGCAAGCATCTCTGCTTTGTTCCTTATCTTAGAAGAAAAGCTTTCATTCCTTCACCATTCCCTGTGGGTTTTTCATATATGGCTTTTATTATGTTGAGGCATTTTCCTTCTACTTCTACTTAGTTAAGTGTTTTTCATCATGAAAGAATGGTGAATTTTGTCAAATGTTTTTTTCTACATCAACTGAGATAATCACAGTTTTTTCCTTTATTTTATTAATGTGGTGTATGACCATTGACTGATTTTCATATGTTTAACCATCCTTGCATGCCACTTGGTCATAGTGTATAATCCTTTTAATATGCTGCTGAATTCAGTTTGCTAGTCTGTTTTTGTTTGTCTGTCTGTTTCTCCTTATTTGAACCATTTTTTAGCATTCCATTTTAATTAATTTATTTGATTTTTAGTCTATCTCTTCCTATGACTGTTTTAATAGTTACTGTCGACATTGCAAATAACACATTTAATAGTCTGCTTAGAACTGATATTTTACCATTTCATTTGGAATGCAGAAACCTTAATACCTTCCCCCATTTTGTTAGAATTGCTTTATGTATACATTTACATATATTGAAAACTCTATCAGAAAATATTCGAATTTTCCCTTTCAGCTGCCAAGTACATTTTAAAAATCACAAAAGGAGATTAGTATTTTATATTTACGTAGGTGTTTGCCATTTCTATTCTTCCTTCATTCTTGATATTCAGTTTTCTTTCTAGTATCATGACTCTTCTGTCCAAGAGCTTTCTTTAACAATTGTTTTAGAGCATATCTGCTGGCAATGAATGTTTAGCTTTCCTTCATCTATGAATGCCTTTATTTTGCCCACATTTCTGAAGAATATTTTTGCTGAATACAGAATTCAGAGTTGTCACTTTTTTTAGCATTTAAAAGATGTGAGAATTCCTTTTGGCCTCTATGGTTTCTTATGAGACATCTGCAGTCATTCAAGTTGTTTTTGTTAAAATAATACATCATTTTTCTCTGGCTGTTTTCAAGATATTTTAGTTTTTAGCAATTTAAATACAAAGTGTTTGAATGTGTATTTCTTTAGGATTTGCTTGGTTACTTGAATTTCTAAGTTTATGTTTTTTACCTAATTTAGGAAGTTTTCAGTCTTTTTTTTTTTACATCTTTTTCAGCATTGTGCTCTTTCTCTTTTCCTTATAGTATTCGCGTGGCATGAATGTTAGACCTTTGTTAATGTTCCCACAGATCTTTGAGACCCTGATCATTTAAAAAATGTTATATATTTATTGCACAAATTTGATCATTTCCATTGACCTTATATTCAAGATCAGATAGCAGATATTTTTACTTGCCATTACATTTTTATTTCTATTTGGTTCTTCTTTATGTCTTTTATTTCTTTGCTAAGACTTTCTGTTTTAACATTTGCTACAAGAGTATTGGTGGCTGTTCATTTCCTCTCTCTGAAATCAATAAAAATATATTTTTTAAAAACCACATGTTGTATGTTTTCATTTATAGCAAATGTCCACAATAGGCAAATCCTTAGAGTCAGAGAGTAAATGAACAGTTGTTAGGTGATGGGCAGTAGGGAGAACTACAAGTCACTGCTACAAGGTATGGGATATCATTTTGAGGCGATGGAAATATTCTGGAATGAGACAGTGGCAATGGTTGCATAATAATGAACGTGCTAAAAAACACTGAACTGTTCGCTCTAAAATGGTGACATTTATGTGTATGAATTGTATTTCAAAAAAAACCTTCAAAATTAGACAATAATGAACATTTATCACACTCACTGTTCACTGTAGGTCATGAGTTCAGGAACGACTGAGCTAGGTGACTCTGGCCAGGATGTCTCAGGAGGCTTCACTCGAGGCTGCAGTCATCAGAACTGCCTGGCGCTGCAAGACCTGCTTCCAAGGAGGTGCAGCCACCAGGCTGGCGAGCTGGTGCCAGCAGTCCATTGAGGAAGGCCTGGGTGTCTCCCCGCCTGGGCTTTTCCAGGAGCTGCGTGGGTGTCCTTATAACAGCCAACTCCATGTGCCAGGAGCCTTGGACACAGATGTGAATTTGCATCGATTTTTGACCCCAGGTAGCGGACCATCTAAAGGCAGACAGTCTTAGGTCACCAAGCTGTGACTTCCCAGCTGGAGAAGTTCCTTTCCTGCTGTCATGGCGACAGGCCAGTCCTCCAGGCTTTTTGGAAGACATGGGTCTGGAAGGACGAGCAGGGCCTGAAAACGCGCTGAGAGCGGGCAGAAGGGAGGGCAGGAGAGTGGGAGACCACGCACAGTCCACGCGCCATAAGCGGTCTTCCACCAGGTGGGCTCCCCGCAGGGCGCATGCGCGAGCGGCGGGGAGGGCGGGACATATAACAACCCTAGAGCTTCATCCTGAGAGCGAGTTCTTCCCGTGGGGTTCTCGCGAGAGCCCCTCCCCTAGTCGCCGCTTCCCCGCCAAACCCGGATTTGCTGAAAATCGCCATCACCATCTTTCTGAAGCCGGAGGTGGAGCTGGAGCTCTGGCTGCTCTGCGGGGCCTCCTTCTGGGTTCCGGGTGCTCCGAGTTCCGGTCATGGATGCCGAAGGGGAAGCATATGGTGGACTCCCCACCCGTAAGATTCAGGGGTGTTTTGAATTCTGGTTTTCTTACTCAATCTTCTGCAATTTACTTTTCACCTCTTCAAATCATCCCCCACGTATGTGTTCTGTTCAGGTTTATAGTTACTCCTACCTCTGTGATTTTACACATAAATGTTCTTTTACAGTTCGAGTCTTGACTCTGAATTCTTTCCCAGCCAGAACTCAGGTACCGGGTATGTGTTCTGTTCAGGTTTATAGTTACTCCTGCCTCTGTGATTTTACACATAAATGTTCAATTACAGTTCGAGTCTTGACTCAATTCTTTCCCAGCCAGAACGCATGTATCAGGGTGGCTGAACCCAGGCCTGGTCTGACCCCGCTGGTCTAACATCCAGTCCCGTTACTGCAGTCTAAATATATATATATATGTGTGTGTGTGTGTGTGTGTATGTATATATCTGTATCTATATATATCTATATCTATATATTTATATTTATAATCTCCATCCCATTGGTTCTGTCTCTTAAGAACCCTACTAATTGACCCCATTTTGCAAATGAGGACATGGAAGCTCAAAGAGTTGCAGTCACTTACCCTAAAGTCCCCCAGCGGGTAAGCAGCGGAATGGGCTCCCTGTCTGTCACCTGCCCCGTCCCCGAGGCCCACCCAGGCTCTGGGCTCCCTGCGCTCAGGCAGGGCTGGGACCAGGACAGGCAAGCGAGGTGAATCGTGCACATGCAGGGTTGGATGTAGCCTTGATTTAAAAGTTGGATGATTTGTACTTCATAGACTTTTTGCATTCATGTTTACTTAAAACATATATTGCATTCGAATATTATTTTCCTTCAGTGTTGAATTTTTCCTTCCCCCTTCCCCTTAAATTTCATGCCCAAGTGGGTGCCTCACTTACCTTTTCAAACAAATGAAGGTGGGGGCCTGGGAAGGGCAGAGGTTGGAGTGCAGACTGCGGTCAGGAGAACTGGGTTGGGACCGGTTCCCACGGTGACTGTCTGTGTGGCTCTGAGCAGCAGGCTTGGCCTAGCTGTGCCTCTGGGCCTGTCGGGGGCAGATCTGCTGCTTCCTGCCTTGGAAGCCCGGCTGGAAAATGAACATGGGGCTCAGTATACTCGCTCTTGGGATCCCTTGAAAGCTCTTGCATATAAATGCACATGATTTTGACGTCTGGTGATGAGCAGCGATCAGCATTATGTCAGTGTGCACAGCATTCTGTCTAAAGCGCACTCTGCCTTCCCAGCCCAGGCTCCAGAAGGCAGGGAAGACAGACTCGCAGGTGCCAGGCCAGGGTGGTGGGAGCAAAAGGTCTCCAAGTTCAGGCTGCCTCCTCCACCCAGAACAAGCCTTCTCCGGAGGGGTCAGTGTTTCTAAGACTCGGGGAGGGACTCTGACCTGCGAAACCTGCCCAGGCCACTCACTGAGGGGGGACTGCCCAGTTCGCCCAGGACACCCACATGCTCATCCGCACTCTAACCATTCTCCCCTCGGAGACACGGTCCGCTCTCCCTGCCTGGAAGGCGGCCTGACAGCTAATCACATTCCCGCCCACTTTGTCCACTCCAGCGGCCACATGACTGAGGAGAAATGGCAAGAAACTCGACTCCTGAAACGGGGCCCAACTGATAGGGCCCAGTTCCTGGAATCACAGCCCAGAGGGTGGGGGCCAGCCTTCCAGGGGCTTGGGCTCCGTCCTGCATGGCAGGGTTTCAAAGTCATGCAGGCCCAGCTGGGCTGCCTGCCTCCCGGGGAAGAAGAAAGAAATCCAGGCCCCACGGCTCACTCCTCTCGGGAGGCTCCCCTATCCCACAGCCTGAGGGGCTCTGCCTGTTCCTAACCTCCCTTCTCAGGCTTTTCCCTCTTTGGGGCACCTTCTGCCTCTGCTACCTATGCATTATCTATTTGCTCCTCACTCTGGGAGGTAGGAACTAGGCACCATTATTATCAAGAATATACAGATGGGGCCTGGCCGGTGTGGCTCAGTGGTTGAGTGCCGACCTATGAACTGGTTTGATTCCCAGTCAGGGCACATGCCTGGGTTGTGGGGTTGGTTCCCAGTGTGGGGCATACAGGAGACAGCCAATCAATGATTTTTCTGTCATCATTGCTTCTTTCTCTTCTTCGCCCTTCCTTTCTGAAATCAATAAAATATATATGTATATTTTTAAAAAAGAAGATACAGATGGGAAGACTGAAACTTCCAAGGATAAAGTAACTTGCCCAAGGTCATCTGTAGGTGGCCCTATCAAGAGTTAAGACTGCATCTGTTTATTACTAAAGCCAGGACCAGGGGTGTCAGACCGGAAGTATAAATGAGAGACAAGGAACTCAAGGGCTCAACAGTAAGACCAGAGGTGTGTGCCTGGCTGAGGGAGCAGGGGCCCACCCCTCTCACTAATTGTGCCACGTGGAAATGCAGGCCCAATGGGGGCTGGAAATCCACATTTTAGGTGAAATACCCTGATTTTTAAATTCTGACAACTCATTAAAAATAACGCAAAACCAACCCTCTGCAGACGGAACACTGGAAGTGCCTGGGTCAGAGGCAGCCCAGGAGCCAGCGGTTTGCCACTTTTGTTCCACACAGTTACGTCTCACTGTGCTCATTGTGCATTTAATGCTTGTCACATTCAACGGAAAGTAAACCAGCCCTATTCTGGGAACAATTGTATTTGCAGGGGGGAAAGGTCCAATTTCAAATACCCCTAATGCATAACTTTAAATGGCACAGGTCCAGTGCTGCCTGCTGGCAGATGCACATATAGAACAGGCCGGTATATTTATCGGACACTGAAATGAGTCCTTCGCGTCTATGGTGAGACCGCATTCTGGGAGGAAGTAGTGTCTACCCAGCGCTGGATACTGCAAAGGCCAGGCTTCTCTGAGCTGTCCTCCTTCTCTCCTGTTGGGGACCAGCCCCAGCAGGTCCAGGGGTTCCCAAAGGTGTGGACGGAGTCGGCGAAGAAGGAATGACACGGAGACAGCGTTCAGTCGATCAGCATAGCGACCGACTCCATCCACACCTTTGGGAACCCCTGGACCTGCTAGGGCTGGACCCCAACACTCTCCCTTTCTCCTACCTGTGTAAGCGTTCCAAGACCTGGGCCTCAGGAACTTTCTCTCTGTCTCATCTTCCTCCAGGAAGAACTCTCAGCCCCTTATGGATGTGACTGTCACTTCTACACCTCACCCAAGCCGAAAGCCAAGTTCACTATCTTTCTCCCAGAATCAGGATGCCCACCCTCCAGCTGGTCTCCCTCAGTCACATGTACTATCATTCTTCTCCTTGGGCAGCTCCAAATTCCAGCCTCATCCCTGAATCTTTACTCCTTCCCTCCCTCATCCATCAGCCCTGGTGGCTTGGCTCAGTGGACCCAAGGGTCACAGGTTCAATTCTCAGCCCAGGGCACGTACTTCAGTTGCAGGTTGGTCTTCAGCCCCTGTCGGGGCACATGTGGGAGGCAACCAATCTCTCTCTCTCTCTCTCTCTAGCTCTCCTTCCTCTTCCTCCTCTCCCTCCCTTCCCCTCTCTCTAAAAAAAGTCAATGGGAAAAATATCCTCGGGTGAGGATTAAAAAAACACACACACATAAAAGCCAGTGATCTGTTAGAGAAGGTTCTCTTGCCACTCTTCTTCCCCAGGATACCCCTAGGAGGCGTTGGGGAACGTGTGGAGAAACTGGTGGGTTCCTGAGAAGAAAAACTGTGCCTTTCTCCCACACCCAGGCTGGGCCCTACAGAGATTTGAGGTCATTTCAGAGCAGGGCAAACATGTCTCATTAGCCAGGAGGAAGCCCAGCATAGGCCAGGTGCCGAGGAATAGAAATGACGGCATAGGGTGTTGGGAAGATAAGACCTCAAAGTGTTCTCCCAGCGTCTCCTTGGCCACCAGTAGGTGTGGGAGAGCAGCCAGATTTCCGGAGGGCCAAGGGGAAAAGGCCTTCTAGATGAAGGCAAGGAAGCCAACCACAGCTGCAATGTCCCTGACTCAATGAGGACCTCCCAGGAGGAGGGTATCTCAGCAGGTGCTCGGGGAGGCAAGCGATGACCAAGAACCTGACTCCCATTCCCAGCATCCCCCAACTCTCCCACCCCCTTCGCCCACCATTGCGGCCACACCCATGACCCTGGAATTCAGAAACAATCTCAAGGTGGGGGATGGGCAGAGCCTGAACTGACAGAGATGATTCAATCTATGCCCCTCCCCAACCAGAGAACAACTGAATTGTAGAAAAACGTACCATAAGATCACAGAAAAACAAAGTTGTATTTCTGATGATTTGGGCTTGTGTCCTGAAATTCATGTGTTCCATTCTCTCCATATTCCAAACTATTCTGTATTCTGTAGCTAGGTTTAATCTTCCTAAAATACCACTTCGTAAGAATGATTATTGAATACTACAGTAAACCAGGAGGTGTGTTAGGGGATTAAAAACCTTGAATGGAGTTTAATCCTAAGAAAGATATAAAATAACATTGCACCGAGATGCCATTTTTCAAGCGAAATTCCAAAAGTTTGACTAGATGCTCTGTGAGGGAGGTGGCGAAGAAGCAAGCACTCAATAAATTGTAATTGGATACACAAAACGGCACACCCCTATGGAAAGGAATTTGGCAACATCTAGCAGCACTACATACGCATTTGCCCTTTGAACAACCTATCGCACTTACAAGAATCTCTACCACGAGTACACTGGCAAAAGTTGGAAGGGATGTGTGCGTAAGGCAATTAATTGAAGCACTATTTATATTAGCAAAGAATTGGAAGCAACGCAAAAGCCTATCAGTAGGGGGCTGGTTAAGTAAATGATTGAGCTTATTAATATTAAAATACACAACAGATTACCACGCAGCTTTAAAAAGAAATGAGAAATAGTTCTACATTCTACTGTGGGGTGACCTCTCTAGCCCATATTAATAAGTGGGGGGAAAGGTACAAAATACTATGCATAGTATGTTACCTTTTATCTGAGAAAGGGGAGATTGATATGCACACGCAGCACTTATATTTTTTTAAATGCAAGATAAAAAAAATAAAAATAGTTACTTAAAGATGAGAGTGGAAATAAAATGGAGAAGACAGGGATAAAAGCAAGACTTTTCCGAATGCCCCTTGTTTTATAGATTTTTTACCCTGGAACAATGGAACTATGTTACATAATTATGAAACAAAATCATATAGGAAAATGCAGTGCTTAAAAATTGAAAGTAAATAAAACAATTAAGCTTGTGTATCACTTTGGTGACTTATTTACATAGGGAATAATTACTCAAATGGCTTTACAGCACACTAATTTGATTTTACAACTCTAGTGAGATATAGCCTAACAATTTTTTAAAACCCTGAATAGGAATAGCAAATTATTTTTCAGTAATTGTATTGTTAATAATATTTCTACTATTATTCTGAAATATAAGTATAATAAGATAAAGCAAATAAGTCACTTTAGGATTCAAGATTTTTATAATAAGAGAAGAGAGATATAAATATAAAATTAGTTAAGTAAAAACCACGTGGTTTTAAATTTGAATTGGAAATCTCAGTGCAAATCCAGGATATATTGCCTTTTTAAAAGAAAAGAAATACTTATTTCCCTTCTCTGTGTGCTGAAAAGACCTGAAGACAATAAGCTACCTAGAAGTAATGAGCACCCCTAGGGCCCAGATTGTTGCCTCTAATTACAATTTTCCACTAGAAGGAATCAGAGCTCTTTGTGAAATGGCTGATTTTGTGTTTGGAACAGGAAATGTATAAGATGAACCTGCAAAGCAAGGAATATTTCAAAGATTGTTGAGATCATGCAAAAAGGACCCAGAAGCCAACTGGAAGAGGCTCTCACTGACCAAAGATGGGACAATCTGAGCATCAAAATGAATAGTGATTGCAAAGGATTGAAACATACAAATATTAAAATGCATGAGTTCATAATAAAAAACGAACTGGTTGCCTTTGGAGTATGGGAGGGAACTAACTCATAATTCCAACAATTTATAAAGAATTAAACATATATTCCACCTTCTCAGGTTGCTAAATAATTGATGTGGGAAAGGTCCTTATAGAAGAATTCTAGTCTATAAATGAAGAA